CATAGAATGCATTGATACAATATTTTAAATTGTTCTCTGATATCTACATAGAAGGTATGTGGCTTAGGTAAGGGCAACAATTCTCCAGAAACGGTTTTACATGTCCATTTACATCCCTAGGATTTGTCCCTAGAATGAAATGGTCTGTTTTTACCTTATTTGGAAAGGTCATGAATAATAATGTTGAGCTCTGCTCTGATTGGCTGTTTCACAGTGCGGCTCATTTCAGTAGCTCTCACAGTAGGAAGGAAACACAGGGAAAATATATATTTCAATACTGTCTCTCGCAGTTATATCGTTGGGTAATTATACTGTATATAAAATATGGGCATTAGGGAGCCGCATAATGCACGATCACTTTTTACTTTCACTTTCGAGATTTGTGATCGCACTTGCTCAATGTAACAGGCTACCACTAGCAAGCAGCTAACCATGTCCCTTTAGTGGCTCGCGTTATTTTATTCGAAATTTGTTTTCCGTGCCTTTCTGAATACAGACACAAACCCATCCCTGCACATCACATCCCCTGCACAGCCTGGAACATAACATTTATTTCCATGATCTGCCATTTTCGCTATTATCCTCGCTTGTTTCTTCCCAATACCTGCAGAACTTCTGATGATTCAGCTGTGCAGGTTCGGCTGGCGGCTGGCATAGAACATGGGCGGGTATATGCAAATGTTGGGGGCGCAACTATTGTATGTGTATGTTAGACCAGTTTATGTGTTTATGTAGGATGTTAGACCAATTTATGCGTTTATGTTGTATGTTAGACTAGTTTAAGTGTTTATGTAGTTAATAAAACCTTACTTGTATCACACTTGACGTGGTTCATTGTTTGCTCATAACTGGAGTCACTTAATCATGCAGATTTATGCTACAAGCTTTTGTAGAATTGTACAGTAAGAAAGTTATTTCCTTTAACCAGGAAATTAACGTTCTTAGAATTGACAAGACAGTTGACCCTGAGAGGTCAGCTAAATATCTACAGCGGATCTAAAATATTCATAATTAATTATAACTAGTTATGATTAATTATTCATATTTCCCATGAGCTGATTCGTTACACCGAGGTTGCTTTGTTTCTTCTCGAAAGGTGAGTAACACCGTGTCTGCGCCGAAACAGCAAAAGTCTGTCTAGTACACTGGATGCGACAAAGCGACCGTTGAAAATAATTTGAAATTTGTGTCAATACGTCATAAATAGAACGCAGCAGCAGTTTTCTGTTGGGGATTTGTCGTGCCGCGTCGCATCCAGTGTAGACCATAGATATGTATATATATCTATGGTGTAGACCAGTGGTTCTCAAACCTCTCCATGAAGTACCCCCAGCACTGCACATTTTGTATGTCTCCCTATATCTGACACACCCACTTCAGGTCTTGCAGTCTCCACTAATGAGCTGATGAGTTGAATCAGGTGTGATAGATGAGGGAGACATACAAAATGTGCAGGGCTGGGGGTACTCCAGGACAGATTAGAGAACCACTGGTGTAGACAGCATCACTGATTATAATGAGTTCTATAGTATTTTGTCGCGCCGCGCCACTCGCGTCCGGTGTAGACACGGTGCAACATTGGTTTTGGTTTGTTTCACAGAACTAATCGTTGCCTGGGTTGCGTACGTATGTGTGGGGCGGAGCTATCAAAATAGGGGCAAGACCCTTTTGGGGTAGGGGCATGTTTGTTTTGGTGATTTCAAATGTCAACATTGGCTACCAGAAATCGCTTACCCCACCTTTAAGTTGCTTGTTTTTTCCAGAGTGAATGGTGCTAAAAGCACATTTCATTTTATCTGAAACAAATGAATATGAATCTGGCAAAGTTTTATTACATTAGTTGCTGTATTTATTAGGCCAGTTCGAAAAAAATACATGTCCAGTGAGTGTCGCTAAAAGGTTAATACTATATTGCATTTGAAAATACTGTTCCACCTACACAAAACCCTACCATAAGCCTAATTGATAGTGTTAAAAAAGCAAACATAAAGATAATAGATAAAAATGCATTTGCTGAGGCAACTGTGCCAGTTTAGTTTGCTTCCACTAAAATGTATTTAAAAGTATTTGAGCTGTTTTATTATATCTTCTGTTTCACAGGACTCATACCTGAGTGCTCCTCATCACAAGTGCAACACTGAACCAGGTGAGCCACTGAGCAAGTTTACTATGTCAAAAAAGCAATGCATATGGAGCTGGTTATATGATGCAAATATCAAAATGTATTATTTACAAATGTACAACAGTAAAAATGTTTTGTGTTCATAAAGTATTTTGCAATGAAATGTGCAAAAATAAGTATTTATTAACCGATACGCTGCAGCTGTAATCATAATTTGTGAGAAAACTGAAAGTGCGACTGCAGTGAATCATATAGGTGCATTTGCGGAGTTTTGCAAAAATGCAGATTTTAGAGATATTTTTTAAAGTAAACCTATGTTGGTTATATCACTTAAAAGCATTTTGAATCTAAACTTATCATACAGGCCCATTTTTTCTACAGACCAGTTAAAGGCTTTTTACACATAAATATGTTTCATTCACAGTATGCCAACTTCTTCAAAACCCCTACACCACTCAGCTTATTAAAGCTGTTTGTTTTGAAGTCAAGGTCAAAGGTCATAGTCCAGAGTCATCACAATTGGATGTAAAATCCTCCTTTCACTGAAACAGCAGCTAGCCACTGACACAATAAAGCTAAACTTCTCAGTCATGTATCTGTCACTTCAGTCCCACCACAACAACAACCCCGTGCCTTCTGCAGGATTTAACAGGAGGAGGGGCGCTTGCTTTTTCACAACGAGCCCCGGCCTCCGCAGAAAACTTGCTGGAGATTATTCTCGTTGACAGCTTGCATTAGCAGATCAAAGGCAAACAGTTGGGCTACATTACTATTCCTTCTGTCTTCAGTCAGAGCAGTCGTTTGGCACACCTTTAACATTTAATGCACGTAGGAGGCGGCCCACTTTCACCCACTCGGAGCTACAACCCTTCATAACCACTCAAGACAAGCTTTTAGATGACCAAGGTTTGAATCGGTTTCAAAGAAAAAGGCAAAGTTGATCCTTAAAGGTGAAGTGTGTAGGTTCTTCAAACCATTTGTTTTTTTGAACAATGAAAGACAATGCTTGAAACCTGTTTGAAAATAATACTTTCTGCAAGATTTTGGGGATCTTGGTCATGCAGCAAATACACACTTCACATTTAATATCAGAAAAGCATAAAAATCCTCCATGTTCCTTTAATTAATTTAAAACGGAAGCAAAAACTGTCTAGCATTGAAGTGAAGATGGATTGCACAGTGCAGTATATCTAGTACACAGTGCACAGACCTCAAAACAGTTTTTCTTGTTTGTTTCTTTTCATTTGTTTAATCCGGGAGCCATCCTCTCAATGGGCCATTCCTGGAGGAAATAGTGTTTTTATTTTATGAAACAAAATGAACAATTCAAAAGCAAATGCTATTGAGAAGCTAAAATACAATGATGTCAATGTGAGCCCTTTCTAAATCTAGGCCTGACAAACTGCATCAACTGTAACATCAGTGGGAGTTTGCTGGAGATTTGAGCTGTCAGGGGTAATTAATGTCTCCTATCTAGGACAGGCAATGTAAATAGAGCACAGAGAATGGTGCAGACTGGGAGACATTCCTCTGGGATGTCCGTTTGTGTGTGTGTGTGTGTGTGTGTGTGTGTGCGTGTTTGGTGTTTGAGTGGGTGGACAGACTTGTGGCCTACAGGCACGTGACTCACCCAAGTTGCATTTAAGCCCAGAAGTGGTAGTTAGACAAGGGCTGCCCACAGGAACCAGACTACACCATTTCCCTTCCAAGCCAGTGTTCATGTTCAGATGGTGCTGTCTGCCCTGTAAGTGTGAGCAAAAGAGCAGGAGAAGGTCATAGAATGGAATGAGACTCTGTTTGAAAATCTAGCAGACATGAGAAAATAATGACAGAACTACCCCTTTAAAGTCCTCCTGTAGTGAAAATCAAGTTTTTTATGTTGTTTATTTGTCTTTATGGTGTTTTTAATATGCTTTTAGACAAACCATGTGCCAATCTATTAATCAACACCATTGCTGAGTATTTTCTCCTTAAAACTGTAGTTTCCCAAAGGCTGACCCAGAAATATGGTTTGAAACAGCCCTTGGTTTGCTACGTCACAAACCAATAACCAATCACGTCAAGGGATCGATTCCTATCACTAGCATGCAAAATATACCAATACAAGGACAAAACTAAAAATAAATCAGAACAAAAAATCCCATGAAGCTGTGGTTTAATGTGAATTTAGAACCGCTAACTTGCATTATAACCCGTGGCAACAGTGTAAAAGTAGCCCGGAGTCAGACGCACCTCTCCCGCAGCACTTCACATGCGTATGCTCGCGGGCACGAATTAACAATCACAAACGCCTGTATTCGAGTCTTCAAGGCATTTTAGGACACAACATCATCAAGTAAGTAACTTTAACGAATGTTACAGTATTCACTGTAGTTGTCCGCTAGTAAAAACATAGTTTTATCAGTCATTATCCGTGTATGCCATTGTTTTGTGGTTACTACAGTTCAGTGGATCAGGAGGCCTAGCTGGTGTGACTGAGTGGAGGCGGGATTAATTTGCATATTCATAGATCCGCGTATAGTAAATGAGGCAAGGGTGTAGAGTTACATTCAAGCTATTTTAAGGCATGAGAAAATTATTTTCACAAGAAAAAACATTTAAATATGTCATTTTGATGTTCAATGATAAGTTTTTAAGGGGTCATATGATGCGATTTCAAGTTTTCCTTTCTCTTTGGAGTGTTACAAGCTGTTCGTGAATAGATAAGATTCCTGAAGTTGCAAAGACTAAAGTCTCAAAACCAAAGAGATATTCTTTATCAAAGTTAAGACTCTGCCACACCCCCCTAAAACGGCTCGTTCTAACACACCCCCACATATCTACCTCACTATGTGGGCATATTTGCATAATGCGCCCAAATGTGCATGCAAAGAAAGAAGGCGTGGTTTCAGTAACAGCAGTGTTGAAGCAGTCATGTCAGGGAGACTAAGTGTGTTTCTAGGCGAAAGCAAAAGCACTTTATTTGGCCTTCCGAAAGTAGATGCATTTAGGAATCTTCAAGATTACTTACAACAGAACAGCAATGCATTTTATGGACGACCGTTTCATGAACCTAGGAGAGGAGGTAATTCTGACTTTGCTATGACAATCTGGCGCTTCTGAATCAGCGACTGTAAGTATGTTTTGTTTCATGTGTTTGAGTAGTTTAGGCAAAAAAATATTTTTAGCCAAATTCTGATCCAGAAACAAAAAACCCTGTGAGAGATGAAAGTGAGTGGATTTGATAGCCATGTACCCTCCTCTCCAGGGTAAGGTTCATCCAGCAGCAGGCTGATCATACTCTCCCAGTCCTTCAGCAGCTCTGACGCACAATCCCACAAGCTGTCCACCAGGTAGGCGCCGTGCTCATGTAGCTAAAACACAAACATTCATAATATCTTAAAAAGCCAATCTAATCTCTCACAGTTTGTTCAGTTACTTCATGCATTTGTTGTGTATTCAGAGGGATAAATTAGGCAGCATTTTTATTTTCCATAATTTTTAAGGTAATCTAACTGCTTTTGTTACAGTCTGTTCTCATACAATCTGCTGGCATCTCAGAAAAGGAAAATACGAACTTGAAATACTAAGATCTGCTCAGTCAAAATATTAATATAGCGAGACATCAAGAAGTGACATTAACCCTTAAAGCCCTGAGGGCATTTTTGCCTCACTGAAGCTGATGTTTTTTCTGAGTGACATACACAAAAATAATGGCTCATAACTCGAAGACTATAGCAAGGAGAGCCAAAATGTTGGTATCGTTTGATAGAAAACTTTCTGTACTTTCAGTGGAAAAAGTATTTCATTTGGACATTCTCCTGCTGAGAAATAGCTGATAAAAATGTGGTTGCTCAGGAAAGATACATTTTTCATATCTGTCTTATTTGACATTCAATATCTCAGGACAGAAATAAGGTAGGAGGAAGATTTTTTTGATGATGTTCTCCAGCATGTTAGATAGCATCACATCAAAGTGGAGTCAGCTGTCTTAACCGTGGCTTGTGTACTGCATCATTACTGTGTCTGTTCCCCTTTCGGACTTGAACTCATGGTAAAACTAATGACATTATTTACTGTCTTTACATTTATTTTGAAAGATGAAGCTCGCGATTATGGTAAGGGGCGTTACATTTCCGACGAGTGCTTGCAGTGTTCGGCCAATCACAATGCACTGGGTCAGCTGGCCAATCAGAGCAGACTGTGCTTGTCGGAAGGAGGGACTTTGTAGAAAACGAAGTGTTTGAGAGAGGCGGGGCATAGAGGACCTATAATAATGTACAGTATTTGAAAAATAATGTGTTTTTTGAACATTAAAGCATGTCAACATATTCTGTTACTCCAAATACACAAAATAATGATCTTTAAAAAAGCATCATATGACCCCTTTAAGGGATAAAATATTTGACTACAGGGGGACTTTAAATCCCTGTCTAAAGTTATCGTATGACTTCAGAATATTTGAAATATAGTATGCCATTCATATGAATACCTTATACCTTATATTGTGTTTACCACAATCATTGTACCTGAATAGAATAGTGCGAGCAGTACATTCTTAAGTCCGCCAGCTTGCTTAGAACCAAATTAGCACTAACCATCTTAAACCAGTCTGGAGCAGCTGGTAGTTTTAGAATTGTTTATAAATGTAATATTATCTGATAAACATGTTGAGAGAGACTCAAAAATCACATATACGCTCCTCCACTGCAGAACTCAACTGTCAGAAAAGCTTAATTTTAAAACTTTCTCACCCGCAGAGGCATTGGTAACCTACTATTTGTAATGCTGTTCTCAGTTCTCGTCACAAACAACAATCTAGTTCAATACTGTAATACTTTAAATTATCACGTTTCTAAAGCAGTATATTGTTGTCTACTTACACACACACTTACTTAAAAGTATGATGAACGACGAATCATGCAAAATTAAAGATATTCTTGCAAATTGGCTGGATGTTCCAATAACTATTATTTAGGTAATAATTACCACCTATTACACTGAGAAAGATCGATGCTATTTTATTTGAATCTAAACGTGCGTTGTGCATACTTCAAAGTTTGACTATTTAAAACTAATTCTGATCTGTCTCTGAAAAGCCAGGAATAGCAGTAAATAAGTGCTGCACAGACAGAAAACTGAATTCATGTTTTATAAGTCTGCTTTATGAGGGGTTGAATCAGTCAAGGATATCTTTATATAGACTGCGATGCATTCATTTAAATTTCTGGCCCATTACAAGAGCCGATAGATTAAGATTCTCATAATCATCTCAATGTCCTATTCTCATTGAGCCTCAGAGGTTGTTTAAATATTCTCATACAGAATGCAAAGTAATGTAGTCCGAGCAATTCTGTTAGGTTTTCTTATTAGTTGGACAAGATTAAAACCTCTTACTATTCTCTGTACATGTCTACAAAGTTCAAAACAAGGGCTTTTCATGTACTATATGGTGTTATTGTGCAAATATGAGCTGGTCTGATCAGTGATCTCTAAAACATCATAAAATACACACATGCATCTCTCACATGCCTTTATTTGCTTTGTATAGTGGTGTTGAATTAAAATGTTGACAAAGCAATATCTTTCGCATTTTTGCATCAAGAGCTGTGACCTTTCAAAAGTGCACAAACAGGAAACAATGCAGAAGAGGCAGTAAAGTGTCTCTGCAGTTGTTAATTGCTTAATATCACCATTGATCATTAAGTGCCGCAATCAGGATGTCGAAAGCACACAAGTGCAAACACTGATTAGTACATGCTAATGAGAGAGAGAGAGAAGTGTTTACTTCTTGGAGGAGGACAGCCAGAGAACGGTCTTGTATAACCACCACAGGCAGATCGGTCATCTTCTGGGCATGAAACAAGGTCTCCACCGTGGCCATGATCTGGTCAAAGCGGCCTCCAAGACCACCCAGGGTTACGATGGTGTCTATCTGCAAAAAGATGGTAGATGAGTAAACAAAGAAATCAATTAACCACCGAATAAACAAATTGATCAGATGAATGAGTGATTGTGGGTGATGTTGCACAAACAATGTACAAAAACTATCCAAACGAATAAATGAACAGATGAATGAGCGAACAGATGAATGAACGAACAAATGAATGATTGTGTGAGCAAAGCAGCAGAGAAACTGCAGGATAGATGTTCTTAAAATGCTATTGCACAAACAAATGAACAAACAAGTGAGCAAACAAACAAACAAATTAACGAACACACATTTTTTTATGTAACTCCAAGTGCTCTATATTTTTCATAAAATGCTACTTCACTAAAAAAGTGAATGAATGGACAAAGAAATGAATGAATGAACAGATTAATGAGCAAACAAACAAAAGAATGAGTGATTGTGGGAGCAAAAAATGTAGATTGAGATGACTTTATGCAACTCCAGGATAAATGTTCAAAATTGACAAACAATTGAACAAACAAACAAACAAATGAACGAATGAATGAACGAACAGTCAAACAAATCAGTAATCGTGGGTGCAAAGTAGTGGATCAAGTTTATTTATGCAACTCTGGAATACATTTTTTTAAAAGTGCTGTTGCTTCAACAAACGAATACACAAATACACAAATGAATGAATGAACGAACAGACAAACAAATGAGCAACTGTGGGACATAGGTTCTGCAAGCTGATGATAAATGTTCTGAAAGTGCTTTTGCAAAGTTGCAGCATAGCTTTTTCTTTCCCACTGCAGCCAAAAATTATGTCCGTCTTCACTAAACAACAGAGTAATACATTATGGAAAGTATTCCGAGGGAACAGTGCGGACCGGAAAACGTTGACTTGGCAGAATGTCTTTGATATTTGCTCCCGGGACCATTTGTCTGAATACTGCAATGTACCCATTACTCTGTGAGATCCAACAACTCTACGTGACAAAAAACTCTTTAAAATGCACAGAGGGTAATCAACTCTTCACTGCCAGCCCCCACTGGCTCATTTAAATAGCGGGACTTATGAGGCATCTGACACATAAATTGTTCATGTTACAGTGCCTCTGTAATTACGAGATCTGCATGGAGGAATGGGCCAAAATACCAGCAACAGTGTGTGAAAATCTTGTGAAGACTTACAGAAAACGTTTGACCTCTGTCATTGCCAACAAAGGGTATATAACAAAGTATTGAGATGAAATTTTGTTATTGACCAAATACTTATTTTCCACCATAATTTGCAAATAAATTCTTTAAAAATCCTACAATGTGATTTTCTGGATTTTTTTTTTCTCATTTTGTCTCTCATAGTTGAGGTATACCTATGATGAAAATTACAGGCCTCTCTCATCTTTTTAAGTGGGAGAACTTCCACAATTGGTGGCTGACTAAATACTTTTTTCCCCCACTGTATGTGGACTGATTGCAAAACGTTTCTTAAAAGTGAAACAGAAATTATGATTTGTTCGCAACTTGTACTTGGAGTCTGAAGTCATAAAGTGAAAGTATGCTGTACTTTGCAAGTATTTACCTGCAAAGTTTAATACATCAGTTCAAACATTTCCAGCAAAAACTTGCAGGCTGAAACCAACAAACTGGAGTCGACGCTTTAAAACAAGCAGATAAATAAATATTTTAATACTTGTATTCATGTTTTAGATATCCAAAGACTGACTGATCGTTACCTCAGTGACCTTCAGCACAAAGCTTATTCACTTTTAGAAGTGTTACTTGTCTTTTGTGAGTGCTTGAAGACACAAAAGGTAGCGCTGAGAGACAGAGGTGAATATAAACACAATAGGAAGAAGCAAGAAGGCCGTAGTATGCATATAGAATGAGCTTGAGACTCGTATATTGGTAAAACTCTGGAGTGTCTGTGACGGTGATGGGCATCTCTGTGAGGACCAACAGACAGTCTGACAAGCCTGGAGCTCAGGCTGGGGTTTAGAAAAGGAGCAGACAGGCACACACATACAATATCCATACAAAACCTCTCTGACAGCTCCTGTAGGATGTGAATTCACACTGAAGCTGAGGTGTGAGCTCACCTTTTATGTTTGACAGGTATAAAAAATAAAAAAAACGAGTGAAAATGAAACCGCTATCCTTCCGACTTTTTTGTTTTTACAATTAACTTGAGTTCCACTTTTTTACTATTGTAATGTACTCATCTCAGTACTTAGGTTTTGTATTTTAGTACACATATTCCTGCATTCCAGTGTGACAGAGTAACACACTTTGAAATGGAGTCACAAAGGCCCTGTTTAAACCTGCTAGTAACATGCATTTCAAATAAGTTTTCAGTGACCACTTGAGATTGGACCATTATTTTGACTACATACATCATTTACTGCTTTGGTCTCTTACCTTGTGCATGTTGATAAAGCACAAAAAGTCAAATAAATTAGCAAACAAAATTACTTCTGAAAAGCACATTGACATTTTTTTCTGCACAACCCTTGTGAAATAGAAGTGCGCTTAAATGTACTGAATATGCACATGTAGAGTATTTCAGATCTTGAAGGTATATATTTTTTTAAAATCTGTCCTGGCAGATAATATAAAATTAATGAAATAAAAAGGTCCCTTAACTGAAAGATAACACCATTTCCTGGCTGTTTCTTAACAAACTTAAAAAGTGCATTTTGTCAAATTAAAACTTTCAAAGCACATTATAAATACTTGTTTTAATAATCTTTTGAGAGTAGAAGCACACTGATGTGTTGACTAACATACTAAAGCACATGTAAAGTGCTTAATTATAATTTTAACTGTAGTGTGTAGATCGATATTACAAGTATTTGAAATGTGCTAAATGGAAATTCATATGAAATTACAAATAAAGATGAACTTAAGTCATACTTAAGGTGGGTCAAAAAAAATCACTGTGAAGTTCAACTAACTGCATTTAATATAAATTTAAACTATAATACATTTTCATTCAACTACAATTAAAATGCACTTAACTAAGTGTCTAAGACAATTACATTCAGTTCACTGTTAAGTAAATTCTATTAAAGTATTTTAAATAAGTACTCTTTTTAAAAGTATGGTAAAGGGTACTACTTTTTTACTTGGGTAACTAAATTGGATATATATTTTTTATTTTAAACATTATTTTCTTTTACAGCTATTGTTTTAGCACAATGGTTGACTGCCAAGTGAGTTGCAATATGTTAGAGGATTTTTATGCTACAAATGCAAAGTAGTCACATATGTTCCTGACTGCCACCGAATGGGGTTTTAATAATCCAGTCACAAAACACTGACCACCTGTGGTCTGATCACCTGAGATGGATATTAATACTGGGTGCAAATGAGGTCAAAAAGTTAGGGAATGGGTCTGAAGCATAAAAAAGAAACAGACAGATTTACAGAGATGCAGCTGAGGAGAGATGGAGTCCAACCTGCAATTTCTGTGCTTTGATCTCCTCCACCATAATGGCCAAGCACTTAGTGAAGTCTGTCAGATCCTGGTCCGGCGTTTCCATTATCTTGCAGTTCTGGAGAAAAATAAGTCAAATTTTAAGACAATGTCGGCAGTTGATGAATACATTGATTTTTAATTCAATATCAAAATTTTGGGTTCAAGTTTTTATGGATGTACACTATTGTATAAGTTTGGGGTCAGTAACATTTTTTTTAAAGGAATTGATCATTTTATTCAGCAAGGACGAATTAAATTGATCAAAGAGGACAGTAAAGACATTTATAATAATGTTACAAAAGATTTATGTGAAATAAATGCTATTTTTATTCACTTGTTATTCATCGAAGAATCATGGTTTCCACAAAAATATTAAGAATTGTGTATACAGGGTAAATTCAGGTTCAGCTGAACATTTTTCCCAGTCATCTCAATGGTGAAAAAGCATCCCAAATTTACCCGAATTCATCCTTATTAAAATACAAATATTAAGAACTATTACCATTGATAATAAAAAGAAATATGGGCTGCTAAAAGCTTTGCTATCAAAGGAATAAATTACAAATATAAATATATTTTACAAATAGGAATATATTTCAAAATATATTAAAACAGTTTTTCAATTGTAATAATATTTCAGAATATTGTTTTAACTGCATTTTTAATTACACAAATGCAGCGTTGGTGAGCATTAAATCATTAAAAAAAAATCTCATCTCATCTCATTGATGACCACCACAAGTATTCAAATATTTCAGAATTTGATGCAATTGACAAAATCAGATCAAGTATTTGGATAAAAATGGGGTTAAAAGGGAAAACAAGAGCCTCTTTAACTGTAAAAAAGTTTTAAAAAGAAACTTTAAAGACTGCCTTCTCCAAACAAGCACCTCCAGTTGCTTTTTGTATGATCACACTTTGTGTTTTGTAAATGGGATCTCTTGTTGTGTGAATCCTTTGAATGTCAGGAAGGGCAGAGGTGAACGTCTCTCGTTTCCAGTCTCAGTTTCCTCCAACGGCTGTATATACGGCTGTCGCAGGTGACTTCTCATTCGCAGCAGGTATCACAAAATCCCGCACCCAAACGTCAGCCGAGAAGCTTGTTTCTGTTGCGGCTTGATATTTCCTTTATCCTCCACAGAGCATCACTCTGGTTTTTATTCCTTTTCAAACCCATTTAAATTCAGGCGTCATGGTCTGTCAAACTTTGGTTCCCCTGAAAGCTGCATACACCAGCTTAGGAATGACATAAAAATGCATGTATGCAGGATTATAACAACGCAAATAACCTCTGGTACTCATTACTTAGCAGATGGTTTTCATTCAAACTGACGTACAGTACACTAATTTCAGAGACGGCCCCACAGGAGAAGAGTGCAGTTATGTGCTTTGCTCAAGGGCACAGTGGAGGCTTCTCTGTAACACTTCACTTCACAGGTTCGCCAGCTTTGTTAAGAGCTTTAGCCACTAGACTGATACCACACCACACTGCACCTTTCCAGAATGACAGAAAGTCAGTGGTGTGAATCTGTGAAATCTACATGACTTGAGGAAATGAGTGGCTGGGGGGCATGGCTGACAAGGACAAAATATGAATCTCAATCAGAAAATGTGTCAGCCCAATCAGTTCAATCAGAAAGTGTGTCAGCCCATACATAATCTTGCACAGACCTTGCATTAATATTTAACATAAATTTATATCAGGAACCAAGACCAAAATTCTTTGTCATACCAAAGTCCAAAAAGCGTAAAATCAAACATTGAAATTCATTAATATTACAATCAACTTCATAGGCCAAATAGTATGCAAAGATATTAACACAAAATAGGCTAAATAAGAAAACTGACAATTTTGGAATCTAAATGTCTATTTAATTTTGATAGTTTCATGCTCTACGCAAGTGGCTTTTACACTTTTTTAATGTCAAGGTCCCCTAAATATGATGTTAAAATATAACCCTCAAATATGGTGCTATGATCCTAAATTATAAAAGCAGATATACATTTTAATGTACAAAGCCCAGTTATACTGAATGAAGTGTGTGAAATTAAAAGACAATATGCTTCCAAAATTAAACAATCACATTTTTTATACTCATTATACTGAAGCTGAAGCAAATTAGAACAGTTTATGGAAATATTTGGAGAAACTAAATCACAACTAATCTCATGATTTCCAACCAGTCTAGATAGCAATAAATGCAATAATGCTATTTAACAATGGTCAGTCATATGGTTAGAGTTACATGCTAGATTTGTATTATTGCTTTGAGCATTTTAGCAAGCATAATGTATTAGAATGTACCTGCAAAGCATTTCTGGTATGGGAATAAACCCCAAAACAATTGAATATGTAGTAATACAGATACTGTAGTAAAATGGAATGAAGAATGTTCATACATATGGACATAAAAGAAAGTAAAAGAGACACCACAAGAGAGTCCCAGAGAGAGTAAGCTTACCTTTTCTGTGTAAAATGCCTTGACCTCTGGCAGGATTGAATCAAAGTCTCCATTTATGTAGTCTGGGAGAAAACTTCATGGGAAGAGAGAGAAAAACTAATGAGAAAGGGAGCGGGAGGAGATGGTGATGGGTAAATGAGCACAATTTGTGCAGCCATCAGATCCTTTATTTATGTGAAATGAAGGTGTGTTTCTGACACGAGCCATGGAAAGCTTCAGTGACAGGACCCCACCAGAGCCATTCAACGCCTGCCAGTCACAGCACTATCTGTCCCCAGTCATGACAAAAGCGGCACAGACAGCCACTTGACACAGTGAGGGGTTGAGAGAATTGATGCACACTCTGCCGTCGCTGTACACCTCACACCAAACTTCTGCAACATAGATTTACGATATATATGGAGGCAATAACAAGATTTTCTTTGCTCAGATGGGCAGAGTATTCATTTTGATAAAGGCAGATCATGTCGCGGCTTCTTTCGTTTTATTCCCTGAGAGCAGAAAGGCAGCGTGGGTATCGGTAGGCATCAAAGCATAAAGACTTGATGTTACGATTTCACGCTCTGCTAGGTGGTGCATGTAGCCGCTGAATGAGCAGAGATGTGCCGCTGAGCTGGTTTAAGAGTAACACTGCAGTGGATTACAGGAGCACTATCTTCATCTCACGGCTGAATCTGAGGCCCAATGAGGAGGAGCACACCGGCGTGCAAATATACAGTAGCTATGTTAAAAACAGGTTGTGTGGGGAATAAAAGCCAATTCAATGACACTAAACTTACACTAAGTTTGCTAAGAAAATCATCAATATTACTACCATTCAAATTTCACAAACGGCATTGTTCTTTTAGTACTTTTAAATAGCAACTATTTTGGAAAAAAGAAATACAACTCCGCTGCCAAATGATGAAATCATTTCAATAACAAATTTCAAACAATTCTTTAAAAGACTTTTAAAATGACAGTCTTTTTAGATTCAACATAAAAGGAATCCAGTTCTTGGACTAAATTATATTTTAAACAAGAATACCAAGTAAACATTTTTGCACTGGTTGAAATCTATTTGATTCACTACAAAGAACTGACTCACAAGAGTCATTTGTTCTGGAATCAGACTACACTGGTCACACTGTATATTTTTGATTCACCTAAAAGAGTTGACTCACAAGAGTCATTCACCTGGGAGTTAGACTACACTGGTTGCACAGTATCTGTTTGATTCACCAAAAAGAACACACTCATAAGAGTAATTTGTTCAGGAATCAGACTAGATTGGTTGCCTTGGAATTTTTATTTTATTTTTTATTCACTAAAAAGATCACAGACTCACAAGAGTAATTTGTTTAGGAACTTGACTACATTGGTTGTACTGTATCTGTGTGATTCACTAAAAAGCACTGACTCACACGAGTCATTCGTTCGGGAATCAGACTACACTGGTCACGCCGCATGTGTTTGATTCACTAAAAAGTACTGATTTGTAGAGTCATTCGTTCGGGAATCAGAGTACATTGGTTGCACTATGTTTTTTATTCATTTAAAGGGGTCATATGATGCTGCTAAAAAGAACATTATTTTGTGTATTTGGTGTATGAAATGTGTTTATGCGGTTTAAAGTTAAAAAAACACATTATTTTCCACATACTGTACATTATTGTTGCTCCTCTATGCCCCGCCTTTCTGAAACGCGTTGATTTTTACAAAGCTCATCGTTCTGAAAAGCGAGGTGTGCTGTGATTGGCCAGCTATCCAGTGCGTTGTGATTGGCCGAATACCTCAAGCGTGAGATGGAAATGTTACGCCCCTCACATACTGTTGATGCCGTGTCTCGGCCGGAACGACGAGCAGGGGCGGACTTACCCATTAAGGCAAAGGTAGGCGACTGCCTTGGGCCCCCAAAAGCCAAGGGCCCCCTAAAATGCTTTTAATGTAGGATATGCGCATTAAGCGCGGACACGCGAACGTTTGCTGTTTACGGTGTTTATTACCACGACAACCGTCCAGTCAGTGGCGCCTGCAGGTGTAGGGCGGTACGCACTGTGAGTACCATGAGCGCTCAGACTGATCTGAGATTTGCCCCGCAAAAATTTCAGCAGTTATTATAGGCCTGTGTGTCCCGTATTTCTGTCACCTGAACCCATGCCGTTAATTATGAATTTATCAGTCTTTTGCATGCCAAAGTCAATTTTTACATTCAAGCTACCCGTAAAATGTATAGTGAAAAGTACTTTAAAAGCGTCTGGAATGCAATAAAGTAATTTTAAAGCATTTGCTGCATGGATAAAAAATATAAATAATTAACATATCATACAAAATTGCGTTGCAGCAAATTCTTTAAATTTTAAGGTATTCAGAACAGAGCAACATAAAAATCAGAAAAAGCAGCTATACAATTATAGGACAAAGTTTTGCATATATGCCATTATAATTAGTGTTTTTATTTTTTAACTGTACGGAATTATGACTCGCCATCTCCTAATTGGATGTGCCTTTAGAGAGAAATGCAGGGATTACATAATGAAAGAGTTTAATAAGCTTTTTTTGGGAAAAGGGGAAAAAAGACGGGCTATAGGGCCTATATTTGAGATCTGTGCAGGGCTTTAATCCTCTTTATCCAACGCTGTTTTGTTCTCATCTGTGAGCATGCTCTTGATATATGTATTTTAGGTGTGTAAATGTATAATTGCCTTTTAATTATTTTTTCAGTTTTATTTAAATTTGTAGTTAAAACAACTAAAAATAAATGTATTTTAAAGTTTAGAATTAGACAGCCTTTGCACACAGGCTTACGCTGAAAACAACAAACTGGAACCTCAAGGTTGATCTAGGAAAATGTGTGCAAATGTATAGGGCCCCATTCCTATAGTTTGCCTGGGGCCCCCAATTCACTAAATCCGCCCCTGGCGACGAGACAAAAACATTAAAACCCATTACAAATGAGGCATTTGTTGCATCCAGTGGGGACATAATTACTGATTATAATGACTTATACTGCCTTTTTACGCGTTACGTTGCATTGCATCGCGCCACGTAAACATAAAACTCTGTCTGCATTTGTGATCATAGAAATGAAAAACAACAAGTGCTACTCTACTGCCCAAAACTCGCGTTTGAATCATCAGTGGCAAATCCTTTAAATGAAAACGTACTTACGTGAGTCAGAACTGCCGGCATTTTAGTCTAATGTTATTCTCCCAGGATCAGTAAACAGTCCTCCATAAAATGCGCTGCACCCATCTGGATATTTGGGTTAAACTGTTCTGGAACAGTGTTGTAAAAACAACAACCACTGATTTGTAGAAAGCGGATATCGTCGGATATCTTCAACAAAAAGCGTCAACAAAACTACAGTGAGACTAAATGTTACACCTTCTTTCTTTGCGTGAACATTTGGGCGGCGTTATGCAAATCTTCCCACATAGTGAGGTAGATATGTGGGGGTGTGTTAGAACGAGACGTTTTAGGTAGGTGTGGCTGACTCTGAACTTTTATAAAGAATATCTCTTTGGATTTGAGACTTTAGTCTTTGCAACTATACAGATCTTCTTTATGCACCAAGAGCTTGTAACACTCCAAAGAGAAAGGAAAAATTTAAATCGCATCATATGACCCCTTTAAAAGAACAGGCTCAAAACAGTCATTCGTTCAAAAATCAGACTACACTGGTTATGCTGTATGTGTCTGATTCACTAAAAAGAAGAGTCGCTTTGGAGAGTCATTCATTCAGAAATCGGTCTACACTGGTGCACCGACTGCATCTATTTGATTCTCTAAAAAGAAGTGACTCACAAGACTCATTTCTTCAGGAATCAGAGTACATTGGTCACATTGTATGTTTTGTATTCATTTAAAAGTATGAACTGTTGTGCTGTCACTAAGTAGTAAGTAGCTCATGAAACTCTGTCAGTGTATTTTAGTAATATATTCCGTATCGGTTGGATAGATGAACATGCGAAAACCATTAACAGAACTGTGAAATGTAAATCCGCAAGTGATCAAGCATATTATATCATGTTAAGGTTAAACATGGTTATATAATTTGTTCCCCTATTAACTGTATTATGCACCCCTATTAAAAAACATTTGATCATCTAGAATGCTTCTAGATCCAGAGTTCAATGTGTGGGAAAAAGCAATTCAAAGCAACAAACGGTTTAAAAGTTTCCCGTTGTGTCCTCTCCAACAGACTCCCAGTTAAACAGGAAACCATAAATAACCCTCAGCAGTGACAGTTCTGCAGCCACATTAAGGTGAAGCTAAACGAAACCTTTCCTTTTGACATTTTATCAGCAAAACAGCTCCTTCCCACCTCAGAGCTCAAATTGGAGGCAAAATACACCTCTTTTACATTCAAATTAAAGTGTCACTTAAAGTTAATCGTAATGCAGGGACTATACCTTTTTGAAAAACAACTCGATTTGGACCGGCACGGAGAAAATTAGAATTAAGAATTGAAGTAATTCCAGAAGGTCAAGACCAAAGCCAATGGGAGAGCCTGAGACCAGACACCCTGTCGCATCAGATGCTTCATTCATTTTGTCACAGCCCAAATAGACAAGACAGACAGACGAAATCAGAGTTATCGCTCCGGCTTTCTTGTTTTTTCCTTGTTACACACTCTAAAATAACATCAATGAGAATGTGGGAAGGTGAAAATGGGGCTCCCAAGTTAAATTCAAGAACAAAACTACATTTAAATCCTTAATCTTGTATTTTGATGCAGCCTCTCTTTGCTAATAAATGATGTGTTCATCAACAGGGGAGCTTCATATTGGCTTCATTTTGCGCAGCACAAATTTCACTCTATTTTTTACTTCAATAAGCCCACTTAGGACTTAAAGGGATAGTTCACCCAAAAAAATTTGATGCTTATCTGCTTACCCCCAGGGCATCCAAGATGTAGGTGACTTTGTTTCTTCAGTAGAGCACAAACGAAGATTTTTAAGTCAAACCATTGCAGTCTATCAGTCTTATAATAGCAGTCAATGGGCTCCTTGGCTTTAAGAGTAAAAAAGACATACACAGACAAAAGCAAATTAAACCCTGCGGCTCATGACGAGACATTGAGGTCTTAAGACACGAAATGATCGGTTTGTGCAAGAAACTGAACAGTATTTATATAATTTTTTACCTCTACCTGTTTTACCTTTACCACAATGTCCAACTGTCCTGAGCACGTTCACAACATTCGGCGCGTGACGTCAAACGTGATATATCAAAATCGTCTTCCATTGTGATGACCTGTACTTCTAAATATCTTTAGATCATCGCAGTGCAGTGAACATGTCCGCAATCTCTCTGCACTGTGTAAATAATGAGTGACGTATTCGCGCGATAGATCGCTTCCGCACATGCGTCTACTATCATAGATATGTGTATATGCCCTATTCGACCGCTCCAGATAAGTTGACGCGTCCGCCATTTTGGAACGTATCGCGGCCCATAGAAACAGTCACTAATGAGGCATCTACTTATATATATCTATGTCTACTAGGATGTTCTGAACGTGCTCAGACGACATTGAGGTCTTAAGACACGAAATGATCGGTTTGTGCAAGAAACTGAACAGTATTTATATAATTTTTTACCTCTACCTGTTTTACCTTTACCACAATGTCCAACTGTCCTGAGCACGTTCACAACATTCGGCGCGTGACGTCAAACGTGATATATCAAAATCGTCTTCCATTGTGATGACCTGTACTTCTAAATATCTTTAGATCATCGCAGTGCAGTGAACATGTCCGCAATCTCTCTGCACTGTGTAAATAATGAGTGACGTATTCGCGCGATAGATCGCTTCCGCACATGCGTCTACTATCATAGATATGTGTATATGC